ATAAAAACCTGTATATATTTATCGGAGTATCAAAAGCGAATACCCACAGGCTAGTCATGTAAGCTGGAGAAATCTTGTAGCGATAGTCCGAGCCGTCTAGGCGTTAGCCCCACTGACGTGATCAAGTAAGTAGGTAGGTATTAGACGAAAAAGTTGCTGTTTAAGAAATTTTTGAATTGTTATACCGGAAATGTTAGCGGCCTTTTTAACGTATTATTAGTATATATGCGCATAATATACTAATACTTTTAACTGTGTTTAGAAATTTAGTTGGGTGGTTTTTCGGTGCGTGAATTATATGTAAACCTTGTCGATCCCAACTATTAAGTGCTGCCGTACTTAATAATATAACTGAAACATTAAATCAGCTCTGCAAGAACTGATCAGATCAGCACCACAAAATAGTCAAGAGAATACACAAATAACGAAGTTACTCTTTTACAAGACACACAAAACAAACATTTATTCGAAACAAAAATAACTATATTTTATACTTGGTATGTTATTATTTTAATTATTTGCTGTTCTCAAAGAGCAAACGTATATATTCTTTTGATGTTATATCGCCCACTTCTTATCGCACATTCTTGCATTTCCGTTTTTATGTTTCATTTATATAAAAATATACAATTATAGATGTATTTGATGTAAACTTTTTAACTCAGGATGTTATCGTTTAATCTAAGGAGCAACCCAACAGTTCTATTTACCTTACATATGGGGCAGAGCTGCGTACCGACAAGTTCAAGGTTTAATCCGCGATATCTCGTTGACTACGCCCCAAACTATCAAATATGGGGAGTTATAACTGTTACAGTCAGTCCCGATATTCGGTTAAGAGTGGCTGCGTTTAGGCAGCGATTCCTGTTAGCTGGATGCTTTCACTCTGGTCGCTAGTTCTAAGAATATTATTGAACATTAGGGAGCTCTGATATGACTGTTTAGCCTATGCGTTGCGTGCGTTTGTTTGTTTGAAGTTAAGCACAAATGGGCTATCTGCACTCTGCTCACCACGGGCATCGAAACCCGGTTTCTAGCATTTTAAGTCCGAAGACGTACCGCCGTGCCACTGGAGGGCATCAGTGTATGCATATTAGAAACATCAATGCGTTTTAATGAAGCTGTACTTGTTGACATACATATATATATACATAACTCTTATTTATGACGAAATGTAGAGCATACTTTTTAAATTTTAATATAGGTTTCAGAAGCTTCAACATCAGAAGTAACACAAAAGTACCGACTTCAATTCCAATCATGTACTGCTGTTTTCTAGTTGTTGACAATACCGGGTAATCACGAACATGACTCACACAACATCAAACAAGAACTGTAAAAAACAAATGTATGCTTACAGATATATCTAGATTGTAATGCACTGCGTATGTGCGGAGCAAATGTGTAAATTTTTAAACTTCTGTAGAAAAAGAAATAATAATTTTTATGTTCGGCAGGAAGAAGTCAAAACATGAACATGCATTGTGTAAAACGAACGGCGAGTCCCTGGGGTGAGGGCACGTGGTCGGTGTGTATTATTTTTCACACGAAAGAAATTGAGTCTATAAGAAATGATATTCCTCTAAGTAATTCAAAACGTCTGTTCTTTCATACCTGGAGCGTTTTTAATTCAGATACCTTGTTTGTCCGTCACTCCCTCGAGAATAACGCTGCACGTGAATCGGGTTCCCAACAACCTGATTACACGGTCTCTGAGTTTCCGCTTTACCCGCGGATCCCTCGCGCCTTGCGCGCGTTCATTGAATTCTTAAATAAATATTAATAGAAGAGACACATTTAAATGAAGGCGGCTTGTTACCTTACGAAACACTAAGAGCCTGATTACTGATTGCATACCTGTGCGCGTCCTGACGTAGCAAACGCGCTGGATGTTTGCTTTTAAGCGCTGAAATTTCCACGATTCCCAAAGGACTAAGTTTAAATAAAGGGTATAGAGTGAAAAGTTTCATCAAGTACTTTAATTTGGGGAGTTTTAGAAAAGACGTTCATGACTGTGGCTCTGTCTCTCTAGATCTTAAACAACAACCATTTCAAGAGTTTTCCTGGCTGTAACTGAATACATTTCCACTGAAACGCTATAACGATGTTTAAACACCTCCAAATTTCGTCTTTGAAGCTCGACTAAGCGTGTTTAATTCGAGCTACGCTACATCCATGCGTTTATTTTCTAAGGGAATTACAAGACTTGAACAAAGAACCGTCCTCTGAACTCAACCGGATAATGGAAACCGAGCCTCATGTATGTGGTGTCTCACAGAGCAGACATGCACCAGTATTTGAATTTCGTCCATCAACCCTCTTGGGTTTCGGTTCGCAATCGCAGACCCAATAGTAGAACCACGATAACATTATAAAATACGTTCTTTATTTATTTCAAAAAAAAAACGTTTTTATACCTTTACAAGAGTTAATCACAACAGGAAGATGTAATTTGTTTCTAGGTTATAAATATATATATATATATAAGTCTACAAGTAATAACTCGAAAAACAATATTTGATTAAAATGCCATGTCGAATAAACCCACGTTTACACCTGTTTTACAAACATTAAATTGTCATTGTTCATATGTTAGTGAGGTCTTGGTTTACACCGGTTTCACAAACATTAAATTGTTGTTGTTCATATGTTAGTGAGGTCTTGGTTTACACCGGTTTCACAAATATTAAATTGTTATTGTTCATATGTTAGTGAGGTCTTGGTTTACACCGGTTTCACAAATATTAAATTGTCATTGTTCATATGTTAGTGAGGTCTTGGTTTACAACGGTTTTACAAACACTAAATTGTCATTGTTCATATGTTAGTGAGGTCTTGGTTTACACCGGTTTCACAAACATTAAATTGTTATTGTTTATATGTCAGTGAGGTCTTGGTTTACACCTGTTTTACGAACATTAAATTGTTATTGTTCATATGTTAGTGAGGTCTTGGTTTACCCCTGTTTTACGAACATTAAATTGTCATTGTTCGTATGTCAGTGAGGTCTTGGTTTACACCTGTTTTACGAACATTAAATTGTCATTGTTCGTATGTCAGTGAGGTCTTGGTTTACACCTGTTTTACGAACGTTAAATTGTCATTGTTCGTATGTCAGTGAGGTCTTGGTTTACACCAGTTTCACAAACATTAAATTGTTATTGTTCTTATGTCAGTGAGGTCTTGGTTTACACCTGTTTCACAAACATCAAATTGTCAATGTTCATATGTCAGTGAGGTCTTGGTTTAAACCTGTTTCACAAACATCAAATTGTCAATGTTCGTATGTCGATCTTGAGGACGGGTGTTCATCTTTATTTGAACTAAATAAGTAAATAAGTTAGTTGTAATATTTTCTAGCTGCAGACTGCCCGAAATAGCTTGGAGTTTTCCAAGGATTCACTTTATATTCTATAACATTACCCTATTCAGAGTATGTAGTGAATTACAACTTGAAAATCATCCAATGCACCAGATGTGTCACAGGCTCCCATACCAATTGTTTTAAAATTATCTCTGCTTTCGATTAAATGATAGCATGTAATTAACGAATCAACCATCGAAACGTGTGAAAAGGGGAACTGCGAAGCTAGATAAATATACTGTGTAACGAGCCACACCCACAGTATACACATATTACCAAAGGTCTCTTGCATACGTAAAGGCTTCTTGAGCATGTATTCGGATACTGATGTAACCTAATGGGTTAAACAATATACAAATTAATATAGTTTAGCGAGGTTTCTATGCATATATACCGTCAGAAGATCGTAGAGAATTTAAATTTTAATGATTATTTGTTCGTATTTTTTTTTCAAAATATCCAGTCAACATCGATGTTAATTTTCGATTAAAGTGTCCAGTTGGCATAAACATTGTTCTAAACATGATTTAGAGCTACTAACTATAAGATCAGGTCCAGCCTAATTTACACTTTTGATTAATGATATAGTTGACCTGTAACCTGAACTTTTAGGGTTAGTTGAATGGATACCAATTAGTTTATGTTTTGCATAGTTATATTACGTTATTTATGTCGTATTATTCGCATAATTAATACATAATTGAAGTTGTCTGGGCTTTCAATCCGATGTTGTTCAAAAGTCCGTTATCTGTAGAAATAATTATGATGAACACATGCCACAATATTCAATACACAATAGCATCAAACCAGAGGGAGCCACTGCAATGTTTGCCCTTGTATTCTGATCACGCTGTTGTTATAATCAAGATCGGCTCTCCATATAAAGAGCTTTTGGGGGTTCTTTTTGTTGTTGTTTAAACAGATTTACATAAAAAAAAAGATAAACCACTGAAACGAATTGCTTAATATCTGATGCAGAATACAGACCAGTACTTTTCATTAATTTAGTCTATGATATGAAATAACAGTTACTTAGAACTACAGTCATATTTTTAGTATATTGAAAGAGCAAATTGCAGTGTAAGAAAAATAAATCAGCTACTGGTAAGGACGTGATACTCAACCGAATACTTTATCTAATAAATCAGCTACTGGTAAGGACGTGATACTCAACCGAATACTTTATCTAATAAATCAGCTACTGGTAAGGACGTGATAATCAACC